ACGACTGCTGCACACACATATTCATAAATTTGATCCCACTATGCGGCAGCGTCTTACCGGCATTCGAGCACCCCCGTTGAGCCGTTGCTGCTGCTTCTGCTGCTGAGGAATTGTGGGTCCGTGGCCCAACTGGCTGGCTGGCTGGCTGGCTAGAGAGTTAGAGCTGCGATCATTTTCCGTACATCATTTCTATGGTGTATTTATTGCCTGGTCGCAATGATCATCGCGGTCTGGGCCTCCATTTCCGTTGTTCACTGCGCAAAAGTTCAGGCCCAGCAACTGATGGCAGCAACTGGCAACGGACGACGGCGGCGGCAAAATCCATTTTGGGAAGGTGATCTGTGGGATTGTGCTAATGTCAAATCAAGCTGTGCCCCCTTGTTATTTAGCCAGCCAGAGCCGGAGCGAAAACCCAAAAGGAAGAAGCTGCTGCCCAACAGCCGCCGGCAACCGCCAGCCGCCAGCGACTAAACTCCATGTTGATTTTATTGTAAATTGCATTAAAAGATTGCATATAAAGAATTTTATTTATCACCTCGGTTGTTAGGGAAAACGCTGTTGGAGACAAAAGTCCTCCTCTCATCCTTGTTGCTGCTGTTGCTGCTGTTGTTGCTGTTGGGCGGCATTGTTGCAGTTGCTGCTGTTTGTTATTGTTTGTCTTGGCATGATCTCAAGGTCTTTCTGTGGCAATTGGTTTCGTTTGGTTCGGTTCGGTTCTTTTAGCCCCCATCGAAGGTGTCGCTAGATATAGCCGCTTTTTGTTTAGCATGGATTGCACTTTTTGCCCGCTGTTCTTCTTCTTGTTATTGTTGCTGTTATTGCTGCCGCTGCTGTTGGTGTTGTTGTTGTTGCTGTTGTTGCCAGTGATCTTTGCCAAATTTGTAAATGTTCTTTTAATGGAATTTGAACACTTGCTCGCTGGCTGCTCAAGGGTTTTCGTTTATATTTATTTATTTAATTTTTTTTGCGTTCTCTTGTTGTGATTTAAGTAGAACGCCTTGACTTGGCACTGTGCTGAACTATGTGCTAGAACTATGTATGTGCCCAGATCGATACACGGGGCTTGTCAGTGTGACAATCTTAAGGAATTGCTGGCAACCGCTCAGCCATAAAAAAAGCCAGTGAACATTTTAGTTTTCTAGTAACCAGGCGCAAGGGGAGTAAAGTGAAGGGTTACCTTGTGTGTGTGTGTGCTAGCGAGTCTGCGTGTGTGAGTGTGTGTGTAATCGGAGCAATCGAATCTGCGACCTTAACAACAACCATGCCGCAACTTGGATGAGGATCGATTTCACAGAAGCTTGTTAAATGTAGATGGCTGCCAGATGATTCCAGATAGAATACCAAGCACGTAGCTCTTCCCAAGGATGCAAATCTTTGAAATAACACAAGAATTTCAAGAAGTAAGCAACTAAAACTTGAATTTTAAGCCAAAAATCTGCCACCGACCTGTTTTAGCGTTTTTTTGTCTTATGCATGCTCATACAAGTATTTCTAATTGCAGAAGAATTTTTTGTTTGTAAATATTAGCTTACAAATTGAGCAACAAAACTGGCCTTAGATTTGCTGAGAATTCAACGCTAGATAGACCTCGATATTGTATTTTTCCGCAGGCTATCTGCGTCCATTGAGGAAAAGGCAAATTGTGCGCAGAGCTTGAAACAAGCTGAGAAGCTCATGCTCACATTCCCATGCTGAAAATTCAAGGCATTTGTTTGATAAATGCGGCATTCAGCGAGGCTTCGTCATATTCAAAGCTTCACCTTTAAGCACATACAAACACACTCACACATATACACCAAATCTGGAACAGCTCAGCGAATGTGTTTTGACAACTTGCGAGGCTCGTAGGAAGTTGCCTTAAGTAGTTGCTCGAGCCAAAATGTAAGGCTCCAAATGCCTTTTGAGAAAGCGAATTTGCAGACAAATAAATCAAGCCACCTATTTTCAAAGAGTGTCCATTGTGTCCTGGCCCAGGCCATGTTGGCCGGCCATTGGGGTGCCGACGACTGTTGATACCTAAAAATGGCAAAGCCGGTTCAGATTGAGAGGATCGCCTGTTGTAGTAGTTGTTGTTGCTGTTGTTGCTGTTGTACAATGCAATTGTTAACAAGCAAAGTTATGCGAAGCAAGCAGAAGACGACGCTGCAAACAGGCAACATCAAAGGGCAGTGCCACAGAGCCTTTTGAAATCTAGTGAAGATGCCCCAAGAAAGCGAGATGGACGATGGGAGATGGGGATGGAGAAAGAGCGACGGCGAGGTCACCGGCTGCTGATGCCCAGGGGCTAAGCAGGGCCTTAAATCTTTGCAGCCGAACATGACAAAGGATGTGCAAGCAGAGGCACAAGCACAGGCACAAGCAAAGGCACTGGACACAGGCAGCGGGCAAACGGAGGCGACTCGATGCGAACGTGTAGAGGAAGGTGTTTAACAAACAGCAAAACAAACAATTGTAAAACAGCAAAGACAACACAACGCAACGACAGAACAACACACAACTTGAAAGCAGGGCGTGGCCGGATTGCACGCCCACGCCCCCCAGGAGCCTGGAGCCGGCAACAACAAGTTAGTGCCAGGGAGTGACCCGCTCGAAGGTGCAATTTCGGGTGCGGGCAACAACAGAGTCAACAACGTTTTTGGGGCTGCATTTTTATCAGCGATAAAAGATCTGAGGCGAGAGACAAGCCACACAAATACGAGTGTAACCCACAAAATAAATACGAAACGCGCATTTTTATGCGGAAACACAAATTGAAATTCAATGCGGGACAAAAGTTTGGACGAGCTGCGTCCGACCTGGGCTTTAAATTGGCTTTCGCAAATAAATAAAAAATTGCCAGCCGTGTGAGAAAGAACAACAAACAAATGCAATAATGTTGGCAGCAGCCGAAAAAGGCGCTTTCAAAATAACTGCCCAATGCACGCCCCTCAAAACGGTTAGGGCCAGGACCAAAGATTAAAAAAAAACAACAACAGCTACTCCAGAGTGGCAGCAGAACCGGCAGCGGCAGCAGGTCCATTGACAGGGCCAGGGCTGTGATAATTCGTTTGGCTGCAGCCGGGGCAGGCGCTTGGGGCGTGTGTTCCTGATTGCAGCTTGTTAACAAGTGTTGGCAGTTTAATTGACTGAGACTACGGCTTTGTCGGATTGCGCCACGCACATCCTGGTCAGCATAAGTACTAACCAGGCCTTAAACCAATCAACTGTCAGCAACTGAACCGAATGTCCTAGTTAGCCGCACGCATATGTGCACTTCCTTTTTAGCCCGATTGGCTATAGAAAACCCAGCAGATCCGCAATGCCAGTTAACATTCTCCAAAGGCGTTAATAGCACTAAGATAGACAAAGTTGTCGCTGACGTCACTCACAGTAGGAGCTAGGCTAAGCACAACTATCGATCGTTCCTCCAATGAATCGTGATCACGCCGAGCTGCCGATTAATTGAGCCGAGGCATTTTTATTAGGCCACGCGTTGGCAGAGCCGTTTAAGCAGCATATCCCTGCTGATACAGCAACGAACATGTTATGCTCTATCCTTAAATTCATAAATCTGTATCGATAATCCTTAACACTTTAAGAGAACGTCGATTGAAATTGGCTGGGAACGAGTTAGTTTAAGGGTATGTAATAAATGGATGCCAATGATGACGCAGGAAGTGGCCGATGCCGACAACCAGATCTGGCCAGACCTGACCACAAACCTGAACTAACTGTGTTATAAATGATCTTATTAGCTTTTTTGAAACAAGACATTCTAGAGATCATTATTCAACGGCAGCAGCAACAACAGCAGCCAACGTTCCGAGCCACAAAGAAGCACGCAACACATTCTGGTCGAGCTGCTGAAGCTGCTGGAGCTGGAGGATTGCGTGTACCGGCAGCAATTAATCATCGCACACCTAACGCAGGCAGCAGCAGGAGATGCATATTTGAAAATTTGCAAATCATAAGGCGAACGGACGCTTGCTCGGTTGGTCGTTCGGACGGTTGGTTGGTTGGTTGGTTGGCTGGTTGGTTAGCTGCTTGGTTAGCTGCTTGGCTGGAGAGATGAACCGGCGATCGATCTTTGAGGCCGCCTGCTGCACTTCACTTGCTTAGTCAGCGCTGCCAAAAACGCCCCCAGCGAAAACGATGCGCTTGAGCTGAGCCCGCGACTGGAATTGGGACTGAGACTGAGCCAAAGCCTGAATCTGAATCTTAGCCGAGCTCCAGCTGAAGTTGAGCTTGTTCGATTTCGCTCTGATCGCTGATTGCATTCCTTGATATCGGAGTCAACGATTGCTGCTCCTTGCGCCTGGGAACACAGCGTTCGCTGCGGCGCTTTGTACGTGACACTCGTTCGCCTGCTGATACTGCCTCCTGCAACTCCTCCTCAGCCTCAGCCTCAACCTCCTCCTGCACCCTCTCAGCTCCAGCTGCGTTCCCTTAATAATTAATTAATGTAATTGGCCTGTCGTTGTTGCGGCGATAATGATCTCATCAAGATGTGTGTTTGAGATTTCGAATTCAATTTTGAATTGCGCTCGCAAACGCTCCGCTGCCTCCGCCTCTGCCTCTGCTCCGAACTCTCTGCGTCGCGACGGCTGCTTGTAATGAAATGACTTTTTTCGGCACTCCGTTTGGTAGCCATTGGAAGAAGCCTTTGTCTGGCTGATTTCCTGCGCTGATTTCAGCTTCTCTCGTATTTTAGAGGTAATTTAAATATTTCAAAAAAACACAGTGTCAAGATCCAGCGAAGATCTGCCGGGATTGCCTGTTCCAGCTAAGATTAGGTAAAGGTAACACCTTAACAACAAACCCAATCTTCCTTTTTTGATTTATTGCAGCATATTCAACATTTCTATAAGCAAATAAGTTAACTAATTGGCAGCACTAGCAACAAAAGTGCTGCCACTCCGCATAAACTCAATTAACTTAAAAAGCCATTCCTACAAATTTAAAATGTGGTCACACTTGCGTTACCGAACTGTCAAATTTTCTGTCAAATTGACAGATCCTTTGCAAATTACTGAAGCTTTTACTTTATCTTTTTGACTTTGTTCAGCTGGAAGCATTTTTCATAGTAATAGAGTCTTAACTTTTCCCAATTTAAAACTAATAATTATAAAACTTTTATATTTCATGTATTAATTAATTTACATTTGTAGATATGGAGAACAATAATAAAGTGGAATATTGGGTAAAAGCACTTCAGTCTCTTGTGGGAGAGCGAAATGAATTACTGCGGAATTTCGCCGACTTTAAAAATGGACTAATTGTCATTGAATCATTTATGCGCGATTTTAATGAACAGGAGACAAATCTCGCAATAGTTCTTCGTTCCAGAGACCAGGAGATCAAAAAACTGAAGGAAGAAATAGAAAAACTAAAAGCTACATTATCTACGCTACCCAAAATAAATGATTGCTCAGAATTGGGACCAGAATGTCAGCATTTCAAGTCAAGACAACCAATTAAACCGTTTGAGCAAGCACCCAAAAATCAAAGTTGCCTTCAGTTGATATCTAGTTTCATCAAGGAGCAGATGACATCTCTCTCGGCAATTCAGGAGATGGTGGACGAAAAAATGCAAGAGGAACAATCCAACAAGGATAAATTGCTTCAGAAATTAGCAGAATATGAGCAACGAGAGGAGCTTCATGTGGAGCAAATGTCCAAATTGCGCCTGCTACTTATAAGTAAAATGCAGGCGAAGAATAAGGGCTTTCTAGAGCTGAGACATTCCATGCAACTGCTGAAGGACGAATATGAAAATAGTAGGGCCTGCTCCATATGTTGGGACACGATCAAGCCTTCTGGAAGTCATCGTGCGGTCTCATTGCTATGTGGACATCTTTTTGGCGAGAGATGCATTCGCTTCAGTCTGCTCAGTTCGCTTGAGTGTCCCCAGTGCAGGGCACCCGCCCATGAAAGGGATGTGCACAATATCTATGGCTTTCCAGCCTAATCTCATACCATGACAAATAAGTATATTTATTTGATTTTTTTCCTAATAAAAAGAAACCGGTAAACTCATCTAGTTTTCCATTCCAAGAGGCGTGGCTATCACTCATACACTTATGCGGCCCAACCTAGGCGTACTTCCAGCCCATTCAGAAGTGAATGTGCGCAACTTTTCAGCATTCCTGGCCATAATTTGTGGCAGCGACTTTTGTCACCCCGAAATCAAATGTCACAAAGGCGAGGTCATAATGCCGTCTGGTCATAACGATAAATTTCACGCACCCAGCGCATAAAGACAATAGAGCCAATTTCCAGCTACGGCAACGGCAAATATGTAATTGAATTGAATTTGATGGAGGCACCAAAGCCTAACCAAATCTCGGCACATGGAATGCAGGCAACAGCACGCGGGCAGCGTAAGCGGCGGGTGACGGGCGACGGGTGACTGTGAACGGACCTTGCGTAGATTTCACGACTGGCCACCGCTCTGGCCAAATATAGAAACGCGCTGCGTGGACCCGTGGACAATAGACAATACGTATACGCACAATTCTCAGGCCACAGGCTGACTTGGCTAACCAAAACGGGCTACAAAATGGGAGAGTCGAGTTGGCTATATGTGACTGCAAATGCTCTACAGCTTTACCAAGGATATATGAAAGTAAAATATCCAAGAGCTTTGAAAAAGACTCAACTGGGTTGGGACTTGTAAATCTTGGACGTGCCTTTAAATCTTTTATAGAGCATTCACTTGTCGGTGTTTGTATGTTGCGGATAGCTTTCTTAGCTTGTTGCTCCTTTGTGTTAAGCTCTGACTTGACCGGGGCGCACAAAATGGGCCATGCAACTGTCTGGGGCCACGCTTACGGTTAAAAGTCTTAGCTGGTGGAGCGCCGCATTGGGGACGCATTGGGGTGGCGGTGTGGCGGCTGAGATAGTTAAAGATATGGCAGCCGTTGTCTCTACATTAGATTTCGAGCAATACCGGGAAGCGGATCGCTCATGAATATATTATAAATGCCATTTAATGATATGTATTTAAAGACAATTCATAGCTAACTGCAACGAACGGGCGGGTGAAGGAGCACCACTGAGCGTTGAGCCTGCGCCAGGCATTCCACGCTAGGGCCAACAGCAATCAGCAATTGCATCGATATCGAACTGGGTTCAATGTTCCAGCCCATAATAATTCTTTGAATGGCCAGGACCGCAGTCCAGGCAGTCCGCTCAGCCAGGCGACTAGCGCATTTCTTTTGTCCAGATTGCACATTTATGCATTTTCAATGAACAATTTTTATGCAAAAAGCGAACAAGTTGCACAATTTACTCTTGTAAAGTCCGACTTCAGTGCCAGTTGCCGGTACAGCCGGACAGCCGCGGTCCGGCCAATTGTTGCTCTATAAAAGTGGCCTCAACTGTGGCTCCGACTGCCGCTATTGGCATGTCGGTGGGGATTAATCTGAGCACAAGACCTTGCCTCGCTTAAGGTCTGGCCCTTGGGCCATGAGACATTGCCATGCACATGGCTCATGGGCAAAGCCATGGGCATGGGGCAGGTGCGCCTTAGTCTTTTACCCAGACTGGGGAGGATGTTGTGGATGGTATGGTATATATGTATAGTATGGGCCATGGCAAACGCACTTCATTTGAATTTCATAATTTCTTTGTTAGCTCCAATTTATGGTCACGGTTCGCTGGGCAATTTATGGTCATAAGCTCGAGAGCATTTACAAAACTGAAAGCGAATGCAGACCACAGACAAGAAAAAAATATAAATAAAAATAAACAACAACAACAAAAACAAAAGACCTAACTAAATTAACGATAACGATTCGAAATGGAAATGGAAATGCAAGCGCAGTGCTTTTAAATTTATAAAAACAGATTTACATATGATAGTCGCTATATATAAATGTATATGTAATTTTATCATAATTATCATTGCTGCAGTTTTGGCTAAATAGGAACTGCTAATTGAGACGTTTAATAGGGAAATTGTAAGGCTATAATAGCAAGTCTTAGAGATCCACATAGATACTCTTATAATTCTTCCCGGAACTGTATAATTTTTAGCCCAACTCTTTAAATTGCCTTCAGTTCCACCGCCGCCGATCAGCCATGTCTCACACTCTCAGGCAATTTAAGTAATGAGAATTTCTTCAATTCCATTTTGTTTTGGTCTGCATATTTGAAAGTCTGTTAGTATCTAAGTAGAACAACCCATTTAGCTGTCTGCGGGAGACTGTTAAAAACAGCGCCGTAGACACGCCTCTGATTAGGAATAAGCAACACCTGTCGCGGCTTTTGATCGCTGTGGTCGTGGCCAGTTGTCCAATGGAGACCCTATGCGAGAATCAGTCGCAGAGACCGAAAAACGAAAAACACAAAACACGAGCTAGGTGTATATTTTCACAAGTCATGACATGAGTGGACGTGGACCATGAACTGGGAACTGGGAATTGGAAATGGGCGCTGGGACGTGGTTGTTGGCTGTGGTTGGCGCGCGGCCCGTTGGCCATTATCAACGCCGTCGTTGATTTGCGTTTAGCGGCCGCAAGTTGTTCGCCTTAATCAAACATGGAGCCGCCATGACAAGTCCATGGCGGGAACGTCTGCAAAAATCCCTTCTGGGCTTAGCGCAGACTGACCAGCCCCTGCCCTGACGCCAGTTGGCATATTTTCTAAACAACTTGGCGCATAAATCATTGGGGCGGCTGCTGTTACTGCTGCCACACCTCCAACAACAGCCACCAGCTGGCTGGATGCGAGCAGCGGCGGGGGCTGGGTCGAAGGATGTGGCCGTTGCAACTGGAAGTTACACCCCAGCCCAGCATTTGCTTGGAATTTTGCGTGCAGCGACGAGCTGCAACTAATGAATTTATGATGAGATTTTGACCAGCTAAAAAGCCAGTAGCCAGTTAGCTGCGAGTTGCCAGTTGCCAGTTGCCAGTTGCCGCTTGGCAGGACCAGGTCCCAGTGCGAGTCAGTTGCAATGGAAATGGCAGTCCAGAAAGCTCAGCCTTAGCCACAGTCAGAGCCCGGCTCAGTCTCTTTCTCTGTATCTGGCTGGCTGTGCTTTGATTTAGGAGTAAGGAGTGCGTGTAGCCAGTACCGAATCGGGCGTTGACCGTTATCATGGCATTTTTATGGTGCCCAGACATGCTGGCATCAAAAATTCTATTACGTGGCAGCATTTTGAATAAAATACGGGAACGTCGTTCTACCATGTTGAAACACAACACTTTCGACTGCGGTTGCCTGTCCAAAAGGCAGGAAGGAAGCAGCGGAGGAGCAAGGCCAAACCGCAGCCAACGGACAGCGGGCAGCAAGCGGAAAGCGGCAGAGTTGAGGCTGAAGCTGCGACTGCGACTGTGGCTGTGGCTGCGACTGTGGCTGTGTTCCTGTCGCCATAATTCAAAAAACAGCAACATTCGCACGTAAAATGTAAACGAAACCATTCGAGTGCAGCCGGTACAGGGACACAGCGTGGACAAAACAAACGACCTGGATCTGAACCACAGCCTGGACAAAGGGCAGTCGCTGCCGTTGTTGCAGCCGGCCAGCCCAGGGAGGGTTAAACAAACGTCGCACGCATAACAAGGAAATCCTTTGGGACCGGTACCGAGACCGGCACCGGGACCTTCGAACGTACATGCAACACACACAATGCAGGCGCGAGGCCTTCATTACCCACCATACCATATCCACAGCCACAGCCACGTCCATATCCACAGCCATATCCACCGTGCCAGTTCTCTGTCTAGCCATGTGAACTGTGCTTCTGGCACCGTCCAATGTTTGCATTTGTTTTGCTTTTCGGCATTTTTCGGAGAGCCAACAGCAAATAATTGAAAGGGTCGACCCAACGACCAGACGACTCGTCGGCCAGTCGACCAGTTGGTCATTCAAGTGCTGCACTGCTCGATTACGTTTCAAGTAGCACGTCCCTCCCCTCCCCGTCCTCAGCTGCTCCCGTGCTCTCTTGTTGCTGTCTCGATCCGGGGTTAAATTGCATAGACAAATTCGCAAGCTGCTCGAGTTTGTTTATATTTCATTTGTGATTCTGATTGGAACGATTGTACAAGTTCTTAAATTGAACAAGATTACGATATGCATTGAATGCAAAAGCATCTTGTGTTTATTAGAAACTCATAAACTCATGCATTTTTAAGGGACTGCAGAAATTTTGAACTCAAGCTGAATAAGAGGAAATGATCAGGATAGTATATAAGGAATAAATAAGTGCTTATTAACTTTTACGACTTCGCCAGCATTATTACTCTCAGAAAAACCTGTAGGCCTTACTTGAAATTCGCATAGAGAGGTGTAATAAGGAGGCGTGGGAGAGACACAATGAATGTGGAAGAATGAGAGGGAGGGGAAGAGGTGTTAATAAGAAGCCGTGAAAAAGAAAAGACGAACGAGTGAGACTTTGGTGGGGGGGGGGATACGAGATTATCTTGCTCTCCCTCTTTCTCTCACAGTAGATAGCTGCAGATGCAGTCTTAAATTCAGATTACAACAGCTACAGGCCTTTTGCCTACCAATTTACATTTGTTGTTTAATCCTATATGCATATGCATATTTAATATGATGAAACATAGCACTTTGTACCATCCAATGGAGGCGACCTACATCCAACTGCAGCCGAAATATGCCACACTTAAATCGCTTACCATATGACAACCATAATGAAGTTTTTAACAGCGCTTTTAGCGGCTCAGTGCCAGTGGCCCCACGGCGCCCAGAGGGGCGCAGTACGGGGGAACAAGGGACTGAAGTTTATAAAAAAAAATTTAAAAAATTTTAAAATAATGGTAATGCCGTGTGGTGGATGTAGCATTTCGGCTTAATTTGTTCGCGGAAAAGCAACCGCTTCAGCCTGAGAACACGTTAAAAGACAACAAATATTAAAAAAAAAAAAAAGGCTGAAATATGAAGTATAACTTAATGAAGTCATTTTGCGGCTAAGCCGGTGCCAGCATACCGCAATCCGCATACCGCACACCGACGCAAGCACCCACTCACGCGACCAAAAATAAAAAAAAAAATA